AATATTCTACAGTAATTCTTTATGTTTAGCCTGAAGTTTATCTTGCAGCGTTCCAGTTTGGAATATTTCTGTTATTTGAGTTTCTGTAGTAGTATCATCCTAAAGGACACCTGACATAGTGGATAAAAGCGTTGGTTAGATCCAGTGACAGGACCCAAAGAGTGCGAGATCAATACCTGGTTAAGGCAGTGGAGAACTTGGAAGGGAAATTAACAGTAGATAACTGACATCCATTAAACATGGCATGTAGAACTAGAACAGTCTACCCCAGTGAGTGAAATAATGGGTTCACTTCAACATTCTAACCACCTGAAGAAGGCTGGAGTGTACACCAGCTGAAACATTGTAATAAATATGGCAACAAATATGAGGACAATAGTTCGAATAATGTAAATAGTGTACATAACACGTCATCTCATCCGATCCCATATATAAATGAACACACACAAACAAACAACCTGGGTTTTATAATAAGTATAACTCGATATGAGTTGTCCCCCTTTCATTCTCGAAACAGCAATGCCTCTTAATCGTGTTTTCAAATTGATTTTGTGCAAAAACAATTGTTTTTTTTCTAATTTTTGGCACTGTCAGAACCACCGCAAGGTAATTTTACATAGTCTTGTGAAGTTTTGTTGAAATCGGTTGAAAAATGTAGGAAATCCGATCCAATATATAAACGAACAGACACACACACACAACCTGGGTTTTATAATAAGTATGATTGTCTGTGTTGGAGGTTTGCGGAGTGTCCTGTGATGTTTTCATGATTGCAAATTATCTCTACAAGCATTATTTATTAATCGTTAATAGTTTCTCAGAGGAAGGGTGAGAAAACTGACAATCCAATATGCGAGCCATTTGTTCATCTGTCAAGTTTTTGTGACACGAAAGTAACTTTAATGAAATGATATCTCTGAGTGACATCAAGCATATACTACAACTTACAAAAATGGAAGAGCATAATGGCTAGATTGTGTGACACATACATTGATCTTTTGTACAAATATTTGAGCTGTATTCCACTTGTGAATTAATCTTGCAACACCTTCCCCTCTTTGTTTCCAACTCAATAATGTTTTCATGTGTTCCATTATGTTAATCTCAATTAAGGATCTTCATATCACAATGAGTAATGCCACTCACTTCAACAACTTCTTTACAAACATTTCTGGCATCCATAGCTCTAACTAGATTTTCCTTAGGTATCGATGAAAGGAAGCACTATTGTGTATTTAGGCAGCAATCCTTTTTTCAAGCACATTCATTGAATACGACAGACAAGGTATTTGATTTAGTTTTTTATACAATTTCTCATTTGATCTAATAATTTTTTTTTCCAGATGATAAATTATATAAGAACTGCCTGATTGTTCTTTCAATCCTGGAGCTTCCAGCTATATATTGAGCCATTTTAAAATTAAATAGGACAAATATTATTTACGAATTTAAATGTCCATTAAGGAATTGTATTCCTGATCAATCAAAATTTGTAAATAATTATATAAGCCACACTACAACATGTTTGACACGCAGACTCACTCTACACCTTTCTGACCATAGCTCAATTAGATCTCATTTAAATACTCAGAGACCTACTGGACACTATTCGTAACATACTTGTTGACAACACAAATATAATAGCATCACCTACATGCAAAAAAAACGGCTAAAAATAATCAAAGCCTTATTAATAGAAAGAACATTCAATAATATCAACTATGAGTATGGACACAATATCTTTACTGTGTTTTGAAAATGAAAACATTATATAAATAGATACATAGAAACTATTTCTTGTTAACAGTTAATATATTTCAATCTTGAAAATGGATAAATGTATAGCCGAAAGGACTCAGATAAAAAGAACACTTGGACAGTTTTTATATGATTTATCATCTGAAAAGAAAAATTTATTACATCACAGGAGAAATTGTATAAAAAACTACATCAATGCACCTTGTCTGTCATATTCAATGAAATATATGTATGTATGTATGTATGTATGTATTATTTATGAATAAAAAGAAAGAACAGTAAGATATATAATCTGGTGTTCTTATAGATATTTTTATTTTTACAAAATAGTGCTCAATGTAAATTTACAGAGCATTAATATTATAAATTAATTGATTTAAAATATGTTTTTTTTGCTACACAGTTCTAACCATGTTTCAAAAATGGAAGCTGAAAGCATCAAATTTAATTTTGTGATTAAATTAAAGACATTAGTTCCATTTCATCCTCAAGCGAATTTTGGAGTAACTTTTAAAATTACTGGATCTTAAAGACACAGCAAAAAAAAAAAAAAAAAAAAAAAAATTTATATTTCCAAGGATACAGAGAAATCCAATTCAACCAAACTAGGGGTGTTTGTGTGTTCATTATCACTGTATTTTGATGTATCAGTTATTAGTTACGTCTTGGTAGGGGTAGGGATGTATTTTTCAATGAAATCTGACATCCGTTAAATGCATGTCATCTGGATTTTTAAAAAATTTTTTTTATTGTTAATGGCAAAAATTCTTAAGGCATTTTTTTCCTATTTGTATATTTAAAGATTTTGGTGGGGTGTTTAGGTTAAAATATGTTTTATTTAACTACGATTTGAAAAATATTTTCACTTTTAATTTTTAATATACTATATTTCTTTTAAGAACAAGTAAATGTACTAGAATCACTTACAGTATGTAAAATTATTTACACATCAAGTATGTATATTACTAGGTCACAATTTTGTTTTAAAATTTATATTTAGATATTATTTAAGTAAAATTTATGACAATGACACCAATAATAGCTAATTAATTTCACTGATTTAGTAAACTTTTATTTTTTATATAAACCTAGTAATATATATATATATATATATATATATATAAGTACAGGTAATAAATCCATAGGTATATAATCCAAGTGGATCCTAATAATATAAAATATTAAAACTGATCTGCAAAAAGAACTCAATGCATTTATTATAATAGAATATATAAATAAGATAGAAATCTAAAATTACCTCATGAGTATAGACTATTTCACTTAATGTCAATGTGTTAGCCTTATTCAACTCAAATGGCAGACTGAATTCAGTGTTGGAACTAGAGATCTCTAGTTTCTTTCTTGGTTATTTTCTCTTTTATTAGGTGTCACTTTCTTTAAATCAAAATTATCACTGAACTTTGATAAAGTTTGCATTGGTAAAGAAAAGTTTTCATTTTGCCTTTATTCCTATTGTCCTTTTATAGACACATTTTATTTCTATCTGAATTTTTATATATATGCACATAAGTCAATACTTCTAGTAAATGATGACTAATATAAAATTTACAGTAAAAATGCTCATTACTATACACAGCCACATCATTATGATCATCAGGTTGAGAATTCTTCTCGGATTCTCCTGACTCGTTCCCTCCACAGCCATCTCTGTCAGACATTGTTGTCGGCAGGTCATCCAGAGTAATCTACAAGTAAGTCAATGTAGCTATGATGAGGTCTTCCAACTGATCTTTTGCTGTGCAATGGGTTCCATAGGAAAGTGTCACTCACAAGTTTTGACTTAAGTTCACCAGGAGTGATAAGCTAGCCAAATCCTTCTCTCTCTTAGCGAAACTGAGATAGGAGGAAGGTGTCCATACATACACAGCCTAAATAAACATAAATTTATAAAAATCTAACCTAGATTGATGATCCCCAGCTATAAAGGAGAAACTCAAGTAGCTAAGGTATTTATATTTTATAATCTTATGTTAGGGTGTGGATGTTAACAAGCTCATGCGTTTTCTGTGTCCTTTTTTTTTAGGTGAAGGTTAAATTATTCATGGGAAGTAAGAATGGATAAAGATAATTGAGCTCAAGTCACCCTCATACTGTGTTGGGATGGCCAAATCTCTACTTCATGAGTAAGGCTGCTGAAAACACATCCAAACGATATTGTCAAAAAGTGGGAAGAGAAAAATTCTGTCCTTTCCAGAAGTGGGGGTGGGGTCATAAAATTGCACATGTGACCAGAAACCGTTTCTGGTAAAGGAAAGAATAAAAGATAAAACTGAAAAAAAAAAAAAAAAAATTTCCCATGATGCAAGTTATAAAATTAAAAAGTTATAAAAAAAAAAAAAAAAAAAAATAAAATAAAACTTACATCATGGGAAAATTATTTTTTTTTAATTCTTTATTATTATTTTATTTATTGGTTTTATTTCATTTTCCCACAAGAGTATGCTGAAAAGATCTTAGCCCAAGAAGAAACCCTTAAAAAATATTTGGTCAGATTTTTTAAAATGGGATGGGTCAAAAACGTTTTAGTACCCTCTTGTTTGCGCAATATATATCTTTTGGCTGGGGGACAATATTAGCCTGAAATTGTAACTATCCAGAGTTAAACAATAATCCTGCATTTTCAATGAGGATAGCAGGAGCAGTGGTTGCAAGCAATTATTGGTTTTCAAAAAAATATCACTCTTCATTGCAAGTGATAAAAGCTTGAAAGCATCTTGAATAATAGATGAAGATTTACTCTGGATTGTTTATCTGAATAGAGAAAATATTAAAGAGAGATTGATGCCTTACACAAGAGAATTGTGTAAAAGAAAAGGAAAAAAATAGTCATGATCAAAATCTGAAATCATTTGAAGCTTATTTTCCAAGTCATCATAAATAGATGAGAACAAGAGTTAATTTTGGCAAACAAGTCCTTTTTTGCCTCTTGAAGTAATAATGAGCAAAAGAAAACTAAAGATGATAAGCATGAAGAAAGAGGAGTGTGAGAGAAAGAATAAATGAAGCAAAGAACATAGTTCTGAAAAGAAGCTTCTTCATTGGCTGAAATTCTGCAGTGAAACAGCAAAAGTGTGGCAGCTTTTCTTTTATTGGATCAAAATGCGAGAAGAAAAAAAAATAGTGGAAAAAAGTTGCAGATTGTTTATAGTTCTTGAAGAAGTGTGACCCAGAAAATGTAAGAATGGAAGTTCATTAGGAAGTGTTGTTACTTAGAATCAATACTACTTTTTTTTTTCAGTAGTGAGAGAATAGAGAGAGAGGAGGGGAGAAAGAACCGAGAGAGAGAAAGAGAGAGAGGAGGTGGAGAAAGGGCCGAGAGATAGAAGGCGGAAGGGCAGAGAGAGAGAGAGAGAAATAGCTAAGGGAAAGAAAGGACCAAGAGGTAAAGAAATGAGAGAGAGAGAGAGAGAGAGCATAGAGAGAGAAATGTTCGAGGGAAAAAAAGGGAGAGTGTGTGAGAAAAAAGGGAGAGTGTGTGAGAGAGAGAGTGAGAAAGAGTGTGTGAGAGTGAGAAAGAGAGATGAGAGTGTATGAGAGAGAGAGAGAAAGAGAGATGAGAGTGTGTGAGAGAGAGAGAGAGAAAGAGAGATGAGAGTGTGAGAGAGATGAGAGTGTGAGAGAGAGAGATGAGAGTGTGAGAGAGAGAGATGAGAGTGTGAGAGAGAGAGATGAGAGTGTGAGAGAGAGAGATGAGAGTGTGAGAGTGAGAGAGAGAAAGAGAGATGAGAGAGAAATTGACAGAACAAGAAATTGTATTTAATAAGCATCTTCATTTCACATATTTCCCAAACCCTTTATATTGAAATAATTTTTGCAAAGAGTCCCGCTTAAAGCAAGTGGTGAATTTCAGAGATTAATCAACAAGAAAAGACCATGAATCCACTCTGGCCTTTTTCTTCAATATAGAGTTAAAGGATTTATTTTGGCCAGGTGTTATCTTCTTTGTGTCTTAAGGTACACACTATTGGTTTATAGGAAAATGCGGTAACAGCTGTAAAACTTAAGTTCCTCAAATTACATAATTTCAATAATAATAATAATAATAATTATTTATTCATTTTTGATAAGAAGTGATTATGGACAAAGTTTAATGCAAAGAACAATCCTGAATCTATAATAAATTGCTTTGTGTCAAAAAGAACATTTATCAGTAAAACTTATAGTGGGGTGTGGGAGAAATTTTTAATTCCCTATTAAGCTACATCATCTGTGTAGATTTCAAATAAATGTTAATATTGAAATATGCTAAATAAATGTTTTGCAAATGTCCAAATATGTCTCCCCAAACAAGTTGTATGAGAGAATGCTGAAAAGTTCTTGATTTCCAACCAAATGATAAAATATCAGAAATTTTCTATTGACTCCCTTCTTTGCCAGGCCAAGATGTTTTCATTACCCACACATATTTATCAGAAGTGTGGAATGAGTAGCCATTGTCAAATACAAAATAAGTGACAAAAATGTTCAATAAACAGAATTGATAAAGTCTGAACTAAGAAATAACAAGAAAAAGAAAAGAACAAGGCAAAAATAATATAAATCAAACAAACAATATATGCAAGGCAAATTAACAGCAATAAGGCAAAAAAATCCACAAAGTAAGCAAATTTGAACAAGTGAACGTAGCATTCTGACTTCAAGACAAAACAGACCAGGACTGAGTCAGATGAAACCGAGAAGTGCCCTATTTTATTAGCTAGGAAAAAAGACCAGTAGACATCTGTGCGCTTTTCCCTATAAAATAGGGAGGGGCAAGTATTTTTCTGTCATTCCCAGAAATTGAAAACAACAAGAAATCAAACCAGTTGGCCATTTTAATAAAAGACAGCATGAAAACATTTCAGGATTCTGCAAGAAGTGAGATGAAGTTAAATACTTTTTGCTTAGAGGTTCAGTAATCCGGATGTAATTCTTCTTCAATTTGATGTTTGGAAGTGATAAGTTAAATGAGGCTGAAAAGGTAGCATTCTGTTTAGTTTTTCTTTCTTTAATATCTAACCTGGCAAACAGAGTTTGAATTTCAGCGAAGCTCATTGCATTCATTTTCCTGCAAATGCCCTTGGGAAAGGCATGAATCCATCTCTATTCCTTCCAGATATAGCTTAAATAGCAAGACACACTGACTAGGACTTCTAGCCATGGTTGGCAACTACTCTAGGATGAAGACAATTCTTAATTAAAAACTGTATGTAGTCCTGGCATTGACACACAAAAGCAAATTTGGACAAGAAGACATTGCATTCTGACTTTAATGATTATAATTTTTTCTTCACAATGACTAATTTTGAATGTGCTTGCTCTACAACTATGTCAGTGTATCATTATTTCATTTATTATCAATATTATTATAATGACTGGTGACAATGCTGGATTGAGGAAAAGTTCCAAGAACAGTGTTCTTTCAACAAAATTGTGACAGTAAAAACTTTTATCAATTTTTCAGATATGGATTCAAAAATGACTTAAGTAAATTTACCAATAATGTAGAAAAATTTTATAGGCTCATGAAAAGTTTTCATCTACTGAAAAAAGATTGACTGAAGATTTGTTTAATGGTACATCAACTCCTTATGGGTTATTTAATGCTGAAATTTAATTTACTTGGGAACTTTGAAGTAATAAAAATGTTCTGCTTTCACAATTGAATACATGGTAGATGATACTCAGCTTTTGTACATATACATGTTTGTGAGGACATAATTACTAGGGCAGTAATATGTGTGTTTTATGTTTTGTCGAAGTTATATTTTGGAATACAGTTTGATTTTTTTTTTTTAAATTGTAGGATATCACATAGATTAATGTCATGAAAGAGTTCTTTCATGTTGGTTGACTTTGTTCAAAGGTTAGAAATGATGGGAGACTGCAGCAGGCACAGGAGGGTCAAATGATATGATCGTAAAATTTCCTATTTTACGTCTCTTCAGCAATGTGATAAACTTGTAACAAAATTTGATGGTTGTTCAGTTATGCTAGGGTTTGGCTGTTTTTGTTTAGCAATAAATCAACCTCAATGTATTATTTAATACCCAAATTTAAATATTTGGAAAGTTTTATGGCTTCAACGACATTGTTGGTAATTCTACTATGAATATGCATCACTGGTAATTTTGTCTTTATCTCAGAGATGAGGTATTATGATTATTTGTATTATTTACATTATTCGGACAGTTATCCTCATCTTCATAGCTATATTCACAACATTTCGGCCGTTGTATGCTCCAGCCTTCTGGTGATTGGAATTTTTCTTCAGTATCTGTCTATATCTCTGAGATGAGGTATTATGATTACTTGCATAATTTACATTATTCGGCCTGTCATCCTCATTGCCATATTCACAACACACATATGTCTCAGATATTTCTCACATGGCCCAGTAGATAAAGATGTTCATTAGATCCAGTGACTAGACCTAAAGAGTTGTGAGTTCAATACCAGGCCAAAGCAGTGGTGAACCAAAACTTGTAGAGTTGAATTAAAGGGAAATAACTCAGACATCTGGAAGAGGCATGGAATGTGGAACAATCTACCCTGATGGATAAAATAAAGGTTTGGTTCAAAATTCCAATCACCTGAAGAAGGTTGGAGAGTAAAACAGCAGAAACATTGTGAATATGGAGGATGATTGTAACAGTTTGAATAATGTAAATAATGAAAGTGATAAAAATTTATTGCCAGTATTTTTACTATATGTTTGGGGGTTAACTATTTGACCATAGCTAGGACCATAACAGGTGCTACCACATCATCTACCAGAAGTTAGATTTTATTCACATTTTTTTTTAGAGTATGCTCAAATTAGAATTTAATCGAATAGGTGAGCATGGTGAAATGAGAGAAAAAAAAAAAATCAAGCAACTAATGTTACAATCATTCATTTTCAGATGAGGATGGGAATAGACATTGAACATTTTTTTTAAATAGGACTTTTTATTTCCATTTTTAACATTTTGTCATACATGAAATTTGTGAATCTTGTCAGTTGTGGGGATTGTATAATCAAAAGTCAAAAGGTTTACGATGATTTTGCTCATAATTTGAAAGTAAAATCAAATCAAATTCCTTACTTGTTTTTAAAAGCTCAAAACAAAAATTAGAACAGAAAATAAAATATTTTCTGAGGCTGTCAAGATTTTAATGCAAATGAAAGCTTTTAGATACATTTCTAAGTTCTAAGTTATTTGCATTTTTCCCCAAAATATTTCTCAAAAATTTGTTTTAAGATCCAAATCGCAAGTGATATTTGAACAATTTAAATTTAAATTACTTTTCCAAGAAATTTTTTGCTTAATGCTCTTTCTTGAAAATTTTTTTAAAAATTTCATTTAACAAAAAAAAAAAGACATAGTACAACAGAGCTATTTTTCTAAATTAAAACCAGACAATTTAAGCAAATAGACAAAAATCAAATAAGTCCAACTTTTTTTCCTTTTAATATCTTACTATTTTTTTTTCAGTAATATAAATATAAAATCAATACATAAAAATCTATGGCACAAAATTTAGTTCAATATTCAATTCAAAAATGAAGTTGGAATCTTAGCAGAAAGAAATGTCAAATCATTTTTGTAAAGATCTTCTCAATAACATGACACTGTTAATAAATTGCATGGTAAACTGGGAAAATATTAAATGTAATTCAACCAGACATCTTCATAAGTAAAAATAGCACAGAAAGCATTCCAGAAAGACAAAAAGTAAATAAATGAATAACTGACTTCATGAAATTCAGCTGAAACACTTTCCCAGTGACAGAGAATTCAGTTATATATATATATATATATATATATATATATATATATATATTGTTTATATCCTACTTTTTAATTGTCAGACTTAGTCCATTGCATTATATATATATATATATATATATATATATATATATATATATATATATGTGTGTGTGTGTGTGTGTGTGTGATTATAATATTTTTATTATAATAAATTACAATAAAACATTTTACATTGCTGCAAAAAAACTTTAATATTTCAGTTAAGTTGTTACTATCTACCATAGCCTGAAGAAGTACCATCTTAGTACTGAAACATGAAAGTTTTTGTGTAGCAATGTAAAATGTTTTCATTGTAATTTATTATAATAAAAATATTATAATAATATTTTGGTCTACTTTGTACTGAGCACTTTTTTAAGAAATAAAGTGCTATGAACTGTGGATTTTCACTCCATCTATTTTATATTATATATATATATATATATATATATATATATATATATATATATATATACACACATATATATATATATATATATATATATATATATAAATGATAATATTAGTGATCAGTATGGATATTTCCAATAGGGTATAAATCAAGGAAGGGTTCTATGTCAGAGACAGACCAATAATTATTATTATAAAAGGCATGAACACTTAAAATTTCATGAGGTTATAGAAACAGTCCCAATTCATCAGACTTTCAAATCAAAAAGCTTTTTGAAGTTACCACTTCAAATGTTACTTTAAGTGGATTTAATTTATTTTTAAACTGTTTATTTTGTCTACTGGCCTGTATATACCTGAAAACTAAAAGAAAACATACTGTCTACTAGGATTTGAACCTGTGTCCCCCTTTGCAGGAAGAACCACTGTCTGATCTGGTGTGCTTTTATCACTTGGCTAAGAAGAGCTTCACAGTAAAGTAAGGTTCTGTTTTGTCCCTGAAAGCACACTGACTGATTAAGATTTTAATGACTAAATAGATTCTTGCTTTTTGTTGAGTGTGATAAATAAATACTGTTTGTGAT